ACTAACTAACTAACTAACTAACTAACTAACTAACTAACTAACTAACTACTAACTAACTAACTAACTAACTAACTAACTAACTAACTAACTAACTAACTAACTAACTAACTAACTAACTAACTAACTACTAACTAACTAACTAACTAACTAACTAACTAACTAACTAACTAACTAACTAACTAACTACTAACTAACTAACTAACTAACTAACTAACTAACTAACTAACTAACTAACTAACTAACTAACTAACTAACTAACTAACTAACTAACTAACTAACTAACTACTAACTAACTAACTAACTAACTAACTAACTAAGTAACTAACTAACTAAGTAACTAACTAACTAAGTAACTAACTAACTAACTAACTAACTAACTAACTAACTACTAACTAACTAACTAACTAACTAACTAACTAAACTAACTAACTAACTAACTACTAACTAACTAACTAACTAACTAACTAACTAACTAACTAACTAACTAACTAACTAACTAACTAACTAACTACTAACTAACTAACTAACTAACTAAACTAACTAACTAACTAACTAACTAACTAACTAACTAACTAACTAACTAACTAACTAACTAACTAACTAACTAACTAACTAACTAACTAACTAACTACTAACTAACTACTAACTAACTAACTAACTAACTAACTAACTAACTAACTAACTAACTAACTAACTAACTAACTAACTAACTAACTAACTAACTAACTAACTAACTAACTAACTAACTAACTAACTAACTAACTAACTACTAACTAACTAACTAACTAACTAACTAACTAACTAACTAACTAACTAACTAACTAACTAACTAACTAACTAACTAACTAACTAACTAACTAACTAACTACTAACTAACTAACTAACTAACTAACTAAATAACTAACTAACTAACTAACTGGCTGACTAACCAACATTTTGCATCTAGATATCATGCTCAGGCCGACAAATGTTTAGCCCAGAGCTCAAAGTTTATTTCTTGAAAGCATTGACCTGCACTGTGACCTCAGGCATTAGAATAAATGCTGAGAGAATGGACTTTCAGATGACATACAACATTTGCAACATTAAGATGCCTTGGGGCTGTTATAATATCTTAAAAAGGGCTAAAATGGCGTTTAGATTTCATGACATGATATCTCAAATTCCAAATCTGCAATTAGATTCGAATTCAAAGCTTAGGATTTTCACCTTTTTCAAACAATTGATATCTGCTCAGAAAACTTATCCTTTGTACCTTTATATTCTAATTTCTCTTAACTATAATTTGAGTGTTCTACAATATGAAAATACTACAAAGGGTTAAAAAGTATAAATTGAAAAAAAAAAAACAGGATATTGTAGTAATTGAAAACTTTAATGTGCATTAGTGATTGTTTTATTAAAAGCTTTTCTCGTAATCGTGCACATTTATTTGATTCTATTTGAAAGGACTTTTGATTGTTATTACTATTAGCCTTTTATGTAATACCTTTTTAATCAATAGGAACAACAACTAAAGTAAACAATAGACACATTTACTTAAAGGCTAAATAAAGGACTAACTTCCATAGTAATTATTTTGAATAAAAAACTAAATGTCACAAAGTTAGCTGAAATACTAAGAATAAAAATAATAATTGTAATATGTAATAAGTTGGAAAATGTAATGTTAACTGAAGCTTAGGAATTTTGGTTAATTGGACTTTAAAACTTGATGATAATAGTTAACAATTAATAACTTTAGTTAAAATACAATGAGGTATTAGGTTCAAATTTGTTTGTTAACTCATTAGGTTTCTTATAAATACTAATTGTAATAATAAATAGTTTAAGTATTATTTTTGCTTCCTCTTTACATGGAAAGAATATTTTTAAGCGCCTTTTGTCTAACCCACATAAAAAGAAAATTATTTGCAAGACATGAGTTATGAAATAAAATAATGAAATGTTAAAAGGAAAACATATGAATTAAACTTATAAAGGGTTTCTTTTAATTAACTTTTCAGTATTCTATTAAGAAATATTACTTTTAATATAAGAGTCTGTTTGTTGTTTCCAATAAAATAATAATGAATAGAAAGGGTTTGATGCTGATGATGTTGAAAATGAAAAGAAAACTATTTTGTTGAGTTGATATGATGGAGAAAAAGTATTAATTAAAAAATATAACTAAGCAACCATTCAACATCATCATCAACATTATCTTTTATAAAGGGAAAGTAAATAATAAATAAACAAGTATGAAAATAAAGTAGGGTTTGTTCGACTTGAAAGCATCCCTATATCTGTATTAATAGATAATTTTTCTTTTTTAATACCTTATCCCTTGGCTTGAAAAATTATATGTATGACTTAGTCGATGAATTTGATTAGTGATTCTCAGTTGATGTATATACAAGCTATAACCCAGCGATGTAGTGTATTAAAAGGATATAAATTATTTATTTCTATATGTATGACTTCTATTAAGTATGATTATAAGTGTTTTTTTTTTCATCTTTCTTTTCAGAAGGTTTTTATGAAAAAAAAACATGGCAATTGACAATTTGTCATAAAGTTGTTTATCATTAACATACAAATACATATATGTATTCATCATTCATCACACACTTTTATGTATATTGTATGCATGTATTTAGCAGATACTTATGTACTTAATACTTAGATACATTCAGAGAAATTCATTAAACAGCAAATATTAATAACAAGTTCTTATAAAAACAACCTACCTAGTTATATGTGTGTATATGTATTTAAAAAAGCTAATGAGTACAAAAATATTTGTATAATTGTAGGTGGTAAGATTGTTAATTTAAGATATAATTAGAGCCAAGGTCTAGAACTATTAAGGACGTCAAGTAAACAACTCTAACAGACTGTAAATGAAATGGATACAGAACTTCAAAAGTTAGAAACCAGATTAGAAAGAAAATGAATGACAGAATTGTTAAAGATTTGGATCTGAAAACATCAGAAAATTTATTTTAAGAGACAGACAGACAGACAGACAGACAGACAGACAGACAGACAGACAGACAGACAGACAGACAGACAGACAGACAGGCAGATAGACAGACAGACGGACATGGCTTAATCGACTCCGCTATCTATAAGGATCTAGAATATGTACATATACTTTATAGGGTCGAAAATTATATTATAGAAATTACAAACGGAATGAAATACTTATATATACCCTTCTCATGTAGGTGAAGGATATAAGTTCATTCATTTGCCAGTCTGTCCATGTAAATCTTCTTATCAGAATCACTTACCAAATCTATAATGTTCGTCCTTCTGTTTGTCTGTTTATCCATATAAATAATATAATATTACAGAACAGTCTGTACGAGTGTCTGTCCAAATCGACAACTTTTGTCCGTCGTACTTTTTGACACTTCAGATAAAGCTTTTAAACAAAATTATTATTCAACTAACTATCTGTTATGTACTTAAACTGTTATTGTCTTTTTGTTTGTCTGTCTATCCATGTAAAACTTCTGATGTTTTCCTTCTAATAAAAGGAATTATCTGAAACGATATTAACTGTCCGTCCTTCCGTCTACCAGTCTCTTCAAGTTTACATGAACAGACTAGTGTCCGTCCGACCGTCTACTTGTCTCAATACTTCCATTCGTCTACTAGTCTATCTGTCAATATAAATGTTCTTATTTTAATCGTTATTCAAATCGAAAATCTTCGTCTACTCTTCTGTCTGTCTTCCCATTAATAAAAGGAATTATCTGAAATGGCAATAACTGTCCGTCATTCCGTCCACCAGTCTCTTCAAGTTTACATGAACAGACTAGTGTCCGTCCATCCAATGGTCTACTTGTCTCAATACTTCCATTCGTCTACTAGTCTATCTGTCAATATAAATGTTCTTATTTAAATCGTTATTCGAATAGAAAATCTTCGTCTCGTGGTATGTCTGTCTTCGCATTAATAAAAGTAATAATCTAAATCGAAAATAACTGTATGTCCACCACTTTCTTCCAGTTTACATCATTTGCATGAACTGACAGTTGGGCGGATGGATGAACAGATATTTTCCATCCGTCTGTCCAAAGGTCTGTCTGTCCTTCTAAAAATGTTAATCAAATCATTATATCAACCGCTTTGTCTAACTTCTGTCTATCTGTCTTTAATTTTCTAATTAACTTCAAAATTCGCCTCCTATCTATAACTTAAGGCCCATAATCGAATTGGGAATATACTATAGTTTTATATAAACACAAATCCTTCTACTAAATTACATATCGATAAAACTTAAATTAATCATTTTCGGCATTTATTTCAGAATAATTCATTATGTTCAGCAAAGAAGGCTTTAAAAAAATCGATTTATTATAGAACCTACCCCTCAAATTGGTCTACAATATACAATCCAATATCCAATTATAACATACTGGTAGGTGGCTATGTTTTGATACTGCCCAATATTACTATTATTGGACTGATATTGTATATTTTTATTTGTAGATTTTCAGCCCTCTAGGTTTTTTCGGTTGGAAACTTTGGTGCTTTCAACAAAAAACGTTAGATGGACGGACAGATGAAATAACTTGGCTAAAACGTCCTAAAATCGAACAAGGACAAGGTCTAAGACCAATATTTCTTTTTTATGTTTCATACAATTATGGAAAATTCAGAACTATGAAAATGAATGTTAAAATATTATGAAAATTATTGTTAAAAAAAACATTTAGCAAATTTCTTAGACAACTTAACAATTTGAACACTTTGCAGTAAAAAACACTTTAAACTCTTCTAGAAACAAAACAGACATAAACAAATATTAAAAAGGTAAAAAAACATTGACATGGAAATAACAAATTGCAGCTAAAGCCATTTTCTTCATTCCATCATTCTAACACAAACCACAGTTGCCACTCAATAAACTAAACATAGTTACCTTTATGTATACCAGGTAACTAGGCTATAGTAAAAGTTTTGGGTATCAAAACAAAACTAAAAGTTTAATATATGCTTGTACTTACCCCATCTAATATTTTGATATTATGTAAAGCATCTTGGGCCCTCAGAGCAGCCTTACGTGTATAATAGGTTACGAAACAGCACCCTGTAAGTAAAGAAACAAGAAAACACAAAAAGCAAAAAAATAATACAACAAAACATATAAACATTTTAACATTTATCAGAGAATATAAAAAGGAAATTTACAATACAAACAAATAGTATTTATTTAAAAGTAAGTACATAGGTATGCATATTAGTTTTATACATACACATACATACATATTCAGCTATGTATACCTATGCAAATACAAATAATAATTTTTAACAAGTTACGAGCACGTAAAGTAAGAAAATAGTTATAAATCTATCTGTAACAAGTACACCTTAATACAAAATTCATTTAATAAGACTTTACTTTTGTATTTGTTTCAGTTCTTAATTTCTCAAACACTTTAGCAAAAGAAATTTTATGTTAATTAATCATATAACATGCAATTTTCTTTTTTTAATTTTAAACGCTTACTTTAGACACAAAAGAGTATGCTTATAATTTATATACATGAATGTAAAGGATGCATAACAAGGACTTACTACAATATTACTGCGTTTAGGGCAAAGACATATAAATTTTTTAAACAAACATGCAATTGTAAGATATCGTATTATTTTTACAAATCTTGAATTTTATATGAATTTAGCTTAAACAAATGACTAGTATGATTTGTTTTAATGAAGAAATTTTTATTTTAAGTCAAATGAATTGAAGTTTAACTTAAATTAATAAACTAAACTTTTTTTGCTATCTATGAATGGCAAAAAGATATACACTGCGTATGATTATTATTATAATACTCATACGTAAAGTGTGACTGGTAGAAACGTATATGAATTTTTTTTAAACAAATGACTAGTATGATTTGTTTTAATGAAGAAATTTTTATTTAAGTCAAATGAATTGAAGTTTTGTTTAAATTAATAAACTCATATTTTGCAGCTATCTTTGAATGTAAGGAGTTACACAGAGCGTATGATTATTATTTTAATACTCATACGTATAGTAGGTCTGCAAACATGGTAGAATATAAGCAGTCTAATGTTCGATATCAATAAGGTTGAATCAGACAACGTTTTCTAAATAATTTTTTCAATGTCCACAGGTTTTATATAAAAGCTTTTCAGTTCAAAAGCTTCCTAATAACGGAGAACCAAATAAAATCGAAAAGTAGTTCAACTCTTTTAATATTGAAAGTATTTCTAAACAAACTTTCACTATCGCAAAATTTTCTCAAGAAAACTTTTGCATATGAAATATATTTCTATAACATTTATTTTAAATACCGAAAAGCTTGCTTACGAAAGGTTATCAATATTAAAATGTTTTCTTACGAAAACTTATCAAAATCAAAAACTTTTTCTAAGGAAGCTTTGAAATATCGATAAGTTTAGAAAACACTTCAATATCGAAATTTTTCTAAAGAATTCTTTAAATTTCGAAAACTTTTCTACAATTTTTTTTTCAATATTGAAAACTTTTCTATAAGAACGTTTTCATATTGAAAGCTCTTCAATAATGAAAGTTTTTCTATACAATGAAAACTTTCCTATAAAAACATTTCAATATCGAAAACTTGTCTATAAAAACTTTTCAATATCAAAAAGCTTTCTACAAAAGCTCTTCAAACTTTTTTATAAAAACTAAAAATTTTATAAAATCATTACTTTTAAAATTTTCTATAAAATCGTTTCTTCAAAAACTTTTCTGTAAAAAGTTTTCTCTAAAAACTTTTTTGTAAAAACTTTTCTATAAAAAAACTATTCAATATTGAAAACGTTTCTATAAAAATTGTTCAATATTGAAAACTATTCTATAAAACTATCCTGTAAAAACTGTTCTATAAGAACTTTTCTGAAAAAACTTGTTGAAAACTTTTCTATAAAAACTTTTCAATATTAAAAGCTTTTCGATATAAAAGCTCTTTAATCTTTTTATAAAAACTTTTAAATATTCAAAACATTTCTTTAAAAACATTTCAATATTCAAAACTTTTTTTTTAAACTTTTCAATATTGAAAACTTTTCTATATCGAAAAATTCAATATCGAAAAAATTTCTATAAAAACTATTCCATATCGAAAACTTTTCTTTAAAAACTTTTTTATAAAAACTATTCCATATCGAAAATTTTTCTCTAAAAACTATTCAATATCGAAAACTTTTTATAAAAACTATTCAATATCGAAAACTTTTCTTTAAAAACTTTTTTATAAAAACTATTCCATATCGAAAATTTTTCTCTAAAAACTCTTCAATATTGAAAGCTTCTCTATAAAAACTTTTCAATATCGTAAACTTGTCTATAAAAGATTTATATAAAATCTTTTCAATATCGAAAAGCTCTTTAATACTTTCTATAAAAGTTCTTCAATACCGAAAAGCTTTCCATAAAAGCTCTTTAGTTTCGAAAAGCTCTTCAATATCGAAAAGCTTTCTATAAAAGCTCAATGTCGAGAAGCTTTCTATGAAAGCTCCTCAATATCGTAAAGCTTTCCATAAAAGCTCTTCAATATCGAAAAGCTTTCAATAAAAGCTCTTCAATATCGAAAAGCTTTCAATAAAAGCTCTTCGATATCGAAAAGCTTTCTATAAAAGCTCATAAATATCGAAAAGCTTTCCATAAAAGCTCTTCAATATCGAGAGCTTTCTAAAAAAGCATTTCAATATCAAAAACTCAAAAATAACAATTCTATAAAAAATTATTCAGTATCGAAAAGTTTTCCATAAAAACCTTTTAATAACGAAAAGTTACGAAATTTCAAAAAATTTGTCTAATATTTATCCTAAAAATACTAACATTTATTGAAGACTAATACATTGAACTAATATCCATAAAAATTTACCTAAAAAAAATTCACATCACATTTGTGTAGTCCACATTTACAATGTAACATATTCTAATGTAAAGTAATGTAAAATAATCTAATCAACATTCATAAATAATCATATATAAGTTTTATTTTTATTATTTTTTATTTTCTTTAACGATAATTTTCTCAAATGAAAACCAAACACAAACTTACACTTCTTTAGCTCTTACATATACAAACACGCAAATTACGGACAAGTGAAAGAAATAAACCCTTAACACAGGACTAAGAAATTTTTTCCACAAAAAAAAGGTAAAACAATATTTATAAATTTTAACACAAATTACCTCGATATTGGTCTCGAAGGAGTCGTGTGGGCAGTAAGGGAAAAACAAACTGTTACTTTAGTTCATGAGAAGAATTGCAATGGGTGAAGAAAAGTTGAAAGAAGAAATAAGGAGCACGTTAAAATTGCTAATAATGTTGAAGTCATATATGTGGGGATATGGAAATACATAATATTCTAATTTCCATATGTTATAGAACGATTACAATACACATACATTTACCTACATAAAGGCATATAAGTATTTGTTAGGGTTTAATGTATTGTAAATGTAGTCGTGTGCGGTAGAAAAGTAATACTAGTTAGTACCGCAAAGTGGGGGGAATAAATAAAGGAGCATGGACTCAAGAAAATCTTGTTATATTACGGCAAAAAAAAAAATATCGTAGTTATTGGCAAACTTGTGCTTAGAACTATTTCATTTAGTGTAAACACTAGTGCCGGTTTTACGAATTGCATGTTAACATGTTGTAAGAATTGTAGTTTAGTAGTTGTTGTTTTTTATGATTATTATTAACATTATATATAAGTATTTAGATACCTACATAGTATGTATGTAAAAGCACGTTCATATGTATAGTTTTACATATAAAGTTCACTTTGAAGTATAAAGAGCAGACGACTATTATTGACACAAGGTGATGTTTATGGATATGAGTAATAAACAGTATCCATACATACCACTTCTCACCCAAAGACTAATCTTATTTGTTAACCTATAATACCATTAATATAGGGAGGAGGAGAGCTGTGGCAGAAAGGTCTAAGCTAAAATGTTAACTATAATAGTTGTTAATATGTAAATCTAACTAACTATAAAGGTTTATTAACATTTTTGTAGTACTTTTTTTTCAGTTCCTATCATAATGTCTGATAACATTTCACATCTCAATATAATTATTGCCATTATGATATTATATTATGTTAATATTCTTATAAGTTTGATTAACTTTGTATAGAGGAAAACTTTTTTAGGTGGAAAATTAGCAAAGTTTTACTCTTTACGTATGCAAGAGGCATAGTATATATTAATGTGTACATAGGAAACGTTTTCTATAGAGAATTTACAATATTGGAAAATTTCCTAGATTTTTGCATTAAAAATTTATCAAATAATAGCATAATAACTCTTTAATACTGAAAATTATGCTAAAAAAGCTTTTCAATGCATATCAAAAAGCTTTTCCATAAAAATTAAAAAATTTTGAAATCTTCATGTGTATTTCAGAATAGGCCTTAAATATTACAATTTTTTATTATTGACAAATCTTCTATAAAAGCTTTTCAATGTGCAAAAACTTGTCAGTTTTAAAAAGTTATTTATTAGCTTTTCAATATTAAATATTTTCTACAAAAGCTTTCCAAAATCGAAAACTTTTGTAACGTTTTCTATAGAAGCTTTTTAATATCGAAAAGTTTCCTTTGAAAGCTTTTCAATATTAAGAAGTTTTCTACAAAAAGCTTTCCAAAATCGAAGTATTTTTATAAAAGCTTTTCAATATTGAAAAGCTTTCTATACAAATTTTAAAATATCAAATGTTTTCTATGCCAGCTTTTCGAAATCAAAAAGTTTTCTGTAAACATTTTCAATGTTAAAAAGTTTTTTTTTTAATTCAATAAAAAGCTTTTCAATAACTAACATTTTCTAAAAAAAACCTTTCAATATCAAAAGTTTTCCATAAAAGCTTTTCTCTGAAAGCAAAAAATGTATAACGTCGAAATGTTTTCTACAGAAACTTTTCTTTATCGTTTTCTATAAAAGCTTATCAATGTAGAAAAGTTTTCTATAAAAGTTTTTTAGTATCAAAAGGCTTTCTATACAAATTATTCAATATCGAAAACTTTAACGTCGAAAAGTTTTCTTTAGAAACTTTTCTTTATCGTTTTCTATAAAAGCTTTTCAGTATCAAAAGGCTTTCTACAAAGATTATTGAATATCGAATAGTTTTGTAAAGTTTTCTTTAACTGCTTTTCAATATCGAAAAGATTTTAAAAATAATTTTCAATGTAAAAAAGTTTTCCATAAAAGCTTTTCAATATCGGAAAGTTCTACTAAAAGCTTTTATGCACCAAAATATTTTCAACATCGAATAGTTTTCTATTAAAACTTTTTCATAAAGTTTTCCAAATGTAGAAAAGTTTTTTTAAAAGCTTTTTAATATCGAAAAATGTTTCAGAATATCGAAAACTTTTTATGAAAACTTTTTAATGTAGAAAAGTTGTTGATAAGAGCTTTTCATTATTTAAAAAAATATTCTATAAAACCTTTTCATATCGAAAAGATTTTAAAAATGATTTTCAATATAAAAAAGTTTTCCATAAAAGCTTTTCAATATCTTAAAGTTTGTACTAAAAGCTTGTATGTACTAAAAAATTTTCAACATCGAATAGTTTTCTATAAAAACTTTATAAAGTTTTCCAAATGTAGAAAAGATTTTTTAAAAGCTTTATAATATCGAAAAATGTTTCAGAATATCGAAAACTTTTTAATATAGAAAAGTTTTTGATAAAAGCTTTTCATTATCTAAAAAATATTCTATAAAACCTTTTGAATATCGAAAAGTTTTCTATATCCAAAAGTTTTTTCTAACATTATCTTAATATCGACCAGTTTACTATGAATGTTTTACAATATCGAAAATTTTCTATGAAAGCTTTTCAGTACTGAAATTTTTTTTAATATTGAATATTTTGCTATAAAAACTATTCAATTAAAGTAATTCTACAAAAGCTTTGCAATTACGAAAATTAGAGCTTTTTAATATCGAAAAGTTTTCTATAAACTTATTTCAATATCGAAAAGTTGAGTGTAATAATATTTTTCAAATACAAACTTTTCCATAGTTTCTAATCAGTTACTCAGTTACTAAAATATAAAACTAAATAATAAAAAGTCTTTCTTCTTAATATATTAAAAACTTACCTCTGCTCATCATGGTCACTTTATCGCGCAACACATTCAGAGTATGAACTCTGCCGTACTGTTCAAATAGACCTCTCAATTTCATTTCATCCCATGACTTGGGTACTTGACCTACAAACATTTTTATAGTATCGGCATCGGGTTGATCTTTGGCAAATTCATCAATATTTTTATTTTTAATTCCATATTATCATTGGAATCTAACGAATACTTTCTAATAGCTGAGCAAGGAACCAGTGCCATTGTATCATCAGCAGAAGTTTCCATTTTTTCCAAGGAATTGTCCGAAACATTTGAGTTTGTATTATTTCTAAAAAAAAAAAAAAACAAAAGATTATATTTATTACAATTACTTATTTAACCGAAGAAAACATTAAAAGTCAATTAGTTGAGTACTTGTTTTGTTTGTTTTTCTTTCCTTTCCTTTTAGGATTTAAATACAAAATACAGAACAAAACACCAACAATAATACAATAAATATTTATTGATTAAAGTTTTTCCCAACTCCATTAAACTTTTGCCGGAAATTCTATTTTGTATTTGTGGTATAACACCAAAAACTAATTTACAAATACAACCACCATTTTCGCATCATTACAAAGTCAATTGTTTATAACTTTTTCCAGTTGTGTTGTGTTTTTAGGTTGTTTATTTATTATTCTAATTTAGTTTTGTGTGTGAGTATATTGTTTGTTTATGGTATTATTTGCTGTTCTTTCCGCAAATAGATTAGATTAGTTCCCCATAACAATTGGTGAATATTTATACCTTTTTAATATGAAATTTTATACCAAATATACAATAATAACGTCTACAATATTTATATTATCATGTCGTGAACATACACTAGTTAGAAATATTTACAGCTATTTAGGGGCTGAACAGTTGGGATAATAATTACTTTAATTTTTCTAACTTTTCCATATGGAAATATTTTTCAAAGGAACATTTAAATTTAGTAAAATATTCTACAGAAATTCATCTATGTTGATAAATTATCTAAACTTTACAAAATCGATATAAAAAAATTCCAAAAGTTTTCTGAACTAGAACTGAACTAGAACTGAACTAGAACTGAACTAGAACTGAACTAGAACTGAACTAGAACTGAACTAGAACTGAACTAGAACTGAACTAGAACTGAACTAGAACTGAACTAGAACTGAACTAGAACTGAACTAGAACTGAAACTAGAACTGAACTAGAACTGAACTAGAACTGAACTAGAACTGAACTAGAACTGAACTAGAACTGAACTAGAACTGAACTAGAACTGAACTAGAACTGAACTAGAACTGAACTAGAACTGAACTAGAACTGAACTAGAACTGAACTAGAACTGAACTAGAACTGAACTAGAACTGAACTAGAACTGAACTAGAACTGAACTAGAACTGAACTAGAACTGAACTAGAACTGAACTAGAACTGAACTAGAACTGAACTAGAACTGAACTAGAACTGAACTAGAACTGAACTAGAACTGAACTAGAACTGAACTAGAACTGAACTAGAACTGAACTAGAACTGAACTAGAACTGAACTAGAACTGAACTAGAACTGAACTAGAACTGAACTAGAACTGAACTAGAACTGAACTAGACTAGAACTGAACTAGAACTGAACTAGAACTGAACTAGAACTGAACTAGAACTGAACTAGAACTGAACTAGAACTGAACTAGAACTGAACTAGAACTGAACTAGAACTGAACTAAAACTGAACTAGAACTGAACTAGAACTGAACTAGAACTGAACTGAACTAGAACTGAACTAGAACTGAACTAGAACTGAACTAGAACTGAACTAGAACTGAACTAGAACTGAACTAGAACTGAACTAGAACTGAACTAGAACTGAACTAGAGACTGAACTAGAACTGAACTAGACACTGAACTAGAACTGAACTAGCACTGAACTAGAACTGAACTAGACTGAACTAGAAACTGAACTAGAACTGACTAGAACTGAACTAGAACTGAACTAGAACTGCACTAGAACTGAACTATACTGAACTGACAACTGAACTAACTACTAGAACTGACCTAGAACTGAACTAGGACTGAACTAGAACTGAACTACAACTAAACTAGAACTGAACTAGAACTGAACTAGAACTGAACTAGAACTGAACTAGAACTGAACTAGAACTGAACTAGAAA